ACACCGCCAATGTCCCCCAAAGTGTACAAACCAGTAACCTTAAAACCCCGCTGCACACACAGCTGCTGCGCAGGCAGCACACCTGACCGTGTCGGAGGAGGGCCTGGGGCGGGGTGAGGCCCCCCGGCTGCATCATGGAGGGAGGCTTGTTCACTCCCACAGGCCGAGAATCCCGTCACACGCAGACACCACGCCGCAGGGCCCAGCCACACACAGCCACCTGGTCCCGGCCTAAAAGACGCAGCTCTAACTCCACCAAGTCAACAGACACTGCAGGCAAGGACAGCAAGCTGCTTCTGAGGGTCACAAAGGAGCAGAGGAAGCCGCTTCCTGGGCTGCCACTGCCTCCGGGAGGCGGTGGAGCGACACTGCATTCGCCTGAAGGAGACTCTGCCCTCTTGGGGAGCAAACACTGGGTCCTCAAGAGCCGGGCGGGGGCCGGAGCTGCTGTCTGGGGCTGCGTCTCTCCTGGTTCAGCCTCGGCCTCAGCGCACACGCACTCGGGCCTCGGCTGCCTCTTCCCCTGACGCGGAGAGCTGCCGTCCGCCTGAAGGATGAGACAAGACGCTACTCGACACGGGAAGAATTCTCACCAGAAAGTAGAGCTGCTGGAGCAACCCACCCGCCAACACGTCTTCCTTATGCGTCTACACATCATCGCTTTTCTCTTACACACGGCCACTTTTTTCCTGCAATGCTTTTCAGCACAAGTGGGAAGGGACCCCGAGATTTTATGCAGCTGCGTTAGAGCTCACTTTACCAAAACAAAGGAATTGAAAAAAGGTTGCTAAATATTGTTATTTCTAGCTTCTTAGAAGGCCCCTCAAAATCCCCAGGAAGAACAGGAATGACAGTGATGCCGACACAGTGACCTCGAAGGCACTTTTTTCCTTGCTGAGCATGAGACCCAGGGAAGAGGCAGCGAAAGACGAGGAACAGAGAGAAGCAGGGATGCCTCCTCTCCAAACTTGGACGTGACGACGCGGACTGACACCTCCTCGGAAATGGCAGAGCATGGGAGCTTCTGGGATGAGGAAGGTGTCCCAGGCCCTTCTGAACGGCCTCTGCCTGTGTATCTACGAGTTTTTCACAGAATCCAAATTCTCCTCTGGGGCCAACGGAGCGTCCTTCCGAGTCACGCTACACACTGGCGCCCGCAGTCCCAGTGACATCACGGGGAAGTGCTGCGTTGCTATGTGCAACTATGCTGGACTTCAATGTCAGCACGTCTGATCTGTAGGTAAATGCATGTCAGGATGGGTAAATATTATGCCATTGAGGGTCACAGAGTTTATTTTTAAATAGAAAAGAAAAAGAAGAGAGGAAGGAAGATTGTTTGCTGTACTGAGGCCAGAAGAATCCTTAATGGCTCATTTTATTCAATCCTTCACATTTAGGAAGGATTAAAAATCCTTCTACTTTTTAAAGAAATATATTTTTATTCTTTTTTTTTTTTTTAGAGGAAAGGAGAGGGATAGAGAATTAGAAACATCAATGATAAACATCAGCAATCGGCTGCCTCCTGCACGCCCCCTACTGGGGAGCAAGCCCGCAACCCGAGCATGTGCCCTTGATGGGAATCGAACCTGGGACCCTTCCAGTCAGCGGGCAAATGCTCTATCCACTGAGTCAAAGCAGCTACCTTCTTTTATTCAATCTCTCTCCCATTCCCTCTGACAGCTCAGTCTGTTCCATGCATCAATGCCCCTGGTTGTATTTTGTTCATTAGATTTCACATGTAATTGAGACCATATGGTACTTGTCTTCCTCCAACTGGCTTATTTCACTCAGCATAATCCTCTCCAGGTCCCTCCATGCTGTCGCAAAAGGTAAGGCTTCCCCCTTTTTTACAACCGAGTAGTACTCCATGGTGTAGATGCACCACAGCTTTTCTCCACGCATCTGCGGATGGGCACTTGGCTGCTTCCAGATCTTGGCTGTTGTAAATGCTGCTGCTATAAACATAGGGGTGTGTATATTCTTTGATTGATGTTTCAGGATTCTTAGTCCCAGAAGTGGCAGTTCCGTTTTTCATTTTCTGAGGAAGCTCCACACTGTTTTCCAGTGGCTGCCCGGGCTGCTTCCCACAGTATTGGAATCTTCAACTCTGACTGTTTCTCCTTCCTATTCTGTCACTTGTTGCTTCGTACCTGCTCCCCCACAGTATTGGAATCTTCAACTCTGTTTCTCCTTCCTATTCTGTCACTTGTTGCTTCGTACACTTTGGGCGGCTGTTGTTAGGTGTGATGTTTATAACTGTTCCATCTTCCGAACGTCTTAACCCTCTGTCATCACTAAGTGTCCTTCTCTAGTGACAGTTCCTGTCATGAAGTCTGGTTTGATAACAGAGTCACTCTGGCTGTAGTGTGGCTGCTGTTTGCATGGTTATGTTTTCCATCCTTTCACTTTCAACCTCTGTGTCTGAATCTAAGCTGTGTCCTTACAGACAGCAGACAGCTGGGTCTTGCTTTTTTATCCAGACTGACAATCTCTGACTTTTGAGTGGGCTAGTCTATTCCCATTTAATGTAACTATTGATATGACTGCTAGCAACAAATCCCTGTCTTTAATTGCGAATGTCTTTCTTTCTCGTTCATATTTGAAGGATAGTTTTGCTGTGTACAGAATTCCTGGTTGGAGATTTTCTTTCCGCACATTAAATGTGTTATCCTCCGCTGTTTTTTATGAGAAGTCATCCATTAATTAATACTATTTTTTTCTACCTCTCTTTCCTCTTCTTTTGGATTTCTTATTATATCTACGTTGCTGTGGTTGATGTCCCACAGATCTCTAAGCCTCTGTTTATATTTCTTCAGGGTTTTTTTAATCTTTGTTCTTTAGATCGAAGAATTCCCTTTGTTCTGCCTCCTGGGTCATCTCACATCTATTATTGAATAGAATCTGTCATTTCATGTCAGTTATACTGTCAACTCCCGATTTTCCACTTGGCTTTCTTTTTCAAAATCATTTCGGTCTCTTTATTGAGATTCTGTATTGTCTTTCCTTGAATTCTCTGAATGTGGTTTCCTTTCTGTGTCTGAACATATTTAAACAGCCGCCCTGCAGTCTTTTCCTGCTAAGCTGCAAATCTGAGGATGCAGAGACATGGTTCCTACTGACTGACTTTCCTGGCATAAATCACGCCTTCCTGTTTCTCGGAAAGCATCTAATTTTCTGTTGGACACCAGACACTTGACGTAACACACGGCAGCAGTTCTAGGCCTGACTTCCTGTGGAGCACTGTTGTCGGTGCTGTCCTGCTCGCTCAGGAACCTGCCTGGACTGAGTCTGTAAGATCCGTCTCCCGGTGAAGGTGCAGCTCTGAGGTCTTCACCACTTTTCCCATGTGTGTTCTCCAGCCTGCTCTTCGGGGTCACCCCCCGCCCCGCCGTGTGCACAGCCTGCTTTCCTTGGGGTCACCCCCCTCTCCCCATCTGCACAGCTTAGAGTTGTCGTGCTCACATACCCGGAGCCGGAAAGACTTCTGCTTCTGGCTGTGAGTGGACGGGGTGCACATCAAATCTCAGGGGGCTCATGCCGCCCGGCCTTCCCTTGCTGCTGGCTCGCTCCCATCCCGTGAGTGCGCTCGGGCTCTGCGGGCAGAGTGTGGGGGCTCCAGCGCACGACACCTCTGTGTCTGGTGCACAGACAGCCTGGGCACATGCAGAGCTGTCCAGCCCCTGATGGCCCTCTCACCCCCAGAGCTCCCCATGTTCCCATAGACCACTGTCCACCGCTTGTACCACAGAGGGCTGTGAGCTCAGGACAGTGGGGCCACTGGCTCTTCTTGCTCATTTACACTGACACGGCCATTTAACTGAAAATACTGCGCATGGAAGTCTGGAAGCACCAACCAGGCTGCTGGTTTTCGCAGCCGCCCGCTCTGGTTCCACTATCACACGGACAGAGCTGCGGAGAAGGCACGGGAGCAACCTCAGGCAAGAACACGCCACCAGCGCTGCCCGACCCAGAGCTGTCGCTCTCAGGGACAAAGCCTCTCCTGTGCCGCGTCCTGTGGTCTGTTTGCCTCGCTCTGGCTTTCTGGCTGACGTGGGAAGGCTGTGTCCACATGCTCCCCCGTTGCGGGAAGTCGAATCTCAGCCACGCTTCCCGTCTGTGGGGTCAGAATTAGTCATGCTCTCCCTCAGGAGACCACACAGGTGAAGAGGCCACTGTGAAGTCTCATTTCAAAGACATGCCTTTGTTTTCGGGGAGGGTGGTGGGGCGACCAATCAACATAAAGATGATAAGGGCACCTGTTTCGGTGGTTATTTCACTCCATCAAGTTCATTAACAACGGCCACTCCTTGCAGGCAGCCCCTGCGGGCAACACGACGGAACCAAATGCTCCACCAGGAGGACAATGATAAGGGCACCTGTTTCAGTGGTTATTTCTCCATCAAGTTCATCAACAACAGCCACTCCTTGCAGGCAGCCCCTGAGGGCAACACGACGGAACCAAATGCTCCACCAGGAGGACGGCCCCCAGGATCTCCGCGCGGGTCCTGGTCCCACAGCTGCTCCTGCTCCCCCATCTGTCTCCTCTCTCCCAGCTCCCTGCTCACGCAGAGCCGGCCAGCCAGGTGCCCGTGGGCGGTCCTACCGTAAGTCACCCTTTTCCGTCTTCATCCAGTGCCTGGTCTGGGCCCCCTGCCTTCCTCTGCCGCCTCTGATGTGAGACCCCTGGTCAGTTGGGCTCTGGACACTCACGGCCCAGGAAGGGGTCAGAACGCCCCGTGCATCCAGAGGCCAGGCTCTTAGGAGAAGCTTTCGAGATGCTGTTTGTTTGTTTATAAAACCTCCCGTGTTCAGATGGGAAACCAGGGTCAGGAGAGCGAGGGGGTCCCCAGCGCCCCTGCCAGGAGCACGAGGAGGAAGCGCAGACATGGACCCGAGTGGGGGTCAGGCGAGGGCCGGCGCCCAGAAGGGACTCGGTGGAGATACCCCTGACAGTGCCAGCTCTGGTCCAGCCCAAGACCACTCCCACCCTCGTCTCTTACCTGAGCCAGGAGCAGCCAGGCCGCACACTGCCCGGGGGCCACCAGGCTCTTCAGCTTCACGGCGCTGAGTGTGACGAGGAACCCCAAAAGGCCACTGGAAGGAGAAGCCACCTGTGAGTGAGGCTTGTCTTCTCGGAGCCAACAGGGAACTATTTCCTGTTACACTTCACCAGTCACTTTCTAATTGTCACACACCTAGTGCACCTGCTTCCAGTGATCTCTAGATTTAAAAAAGACAAGTTAAGACCCAGGAAGCTCTACTTTCCTCAGGAGCTTTGAAGAGAGCATTTACCAGAGGTGGGGAGGGGGCACGGAAATGTGGGAGGGCTGTTACATCCTGACCGAAAGAAAGGGGGGCAGCACCTCCCGCCCCCCCGCCCCCCATTATGCTGGAGCTTGGTGCTTGCCAAGCAGCTTCCATTTCTCCCAGCAGAACACAGGCAGGGACAGATTCCCAAGGGAAAGCACCACCTGAGGGCAGAGGGTCTGGGTTCGAGGTAAGACCTGAAAGGGGAGGGCTGGCTCCCATGACACGTCCCCAAGCGAGGTCACCACACAGCAGCGGCGCTCTAGGAACGAGCCTACCCCAGGGGTGACCGGCACGCGCCCCCACCCTGGGGGCCGCACGGCACTGACACGGCCGTGGTCGGGGAAGCAGTGGCCGCACGAGAGCCGTCTGCAAGGTCACCATGTGCCCAAGTGCAAAGCAAAGGGAACGCCCAGCAGCATGATGGCTCCTCCTGACATTGGGGGGCAGGGGCTGGGGAAGGGAGTATGGCAGGGGCCCATGACGGAGGCCGACTCCGCAAATAAGCGCAGTGCGGGCGGAGGGCGGCTCGAAAAGCAAGAGACACGCCTGCAGCTGTGCCCCAAACTACGGGCAGGTCTGGGAGTTGTGCCATTGGCACCCACAGGGCCCCGGGTCCCACGCTGCCCTCTGACCGTGTGGCAGGCGCTGGTGGTGGCTCTGACCTGACTGAGCTCTGGGAGGGCGGGGCCTGGCCTTGGCCGGGACTCTCTGGAGCACTGGCTCACGGCCTGCAGGCATTGGACTCACAGGCGGCCGCAGCAGGAACAACGATGGCCATCATTTACGGGCCAGGCACAGGCGCAGGCATTAGATTCCCTCTCCAGTACACACAGCCCTGCACGGCTATTTCCCTTTCTCCAGACAAGGAAACGAAGTGAGGGCAGGGAGAAGCAGGATCATGCGGCCAAGACACGCCCTCAGGGAGCACGGGCTGGGCCTCACCTGGGTCGGCTTTCCCACCACAGCCCAGGGCACGCGGTGAGCCTGCCACAGAGACCTGCGCCTCCAGTGCAGCGAAGTCAAGCGGGGGGTCGGGGGGGGGGTGCGGACAGGGAGACAGGACGGCGCACTTAGTTGGTCCACATCCCTGAGTGCTTCCCAGGCCCATGTTCCAGATCACCTCGTCCAGCCAGCTCCTACTCAATGGTCCCCACAATCTGTCTCATAACCTTGGGGTTCAGTGGAGGTTTTTTGTGTGGTTTCTTTTTTGGAGGCTGCCCTTCAGGAGCAAGAGGGAGCCAAGGTGGAAGTGGAGAGGGTAGGACTGTGGACCCCAATCTTCCCTTGAACTCAACTAGCTCAGACTAACGTTGAAAGAATTGTTTGTGGAGAGAAAATAAAGTCGGGAAATCCCAGCTCTTGGGCAAGTTTGGAAACCACTGCTGGAGCCTGAACACTTCCACATGACAGGGGTCCTCGAAGGCCCAGGCCAGCTCTGAGCACCCGAGGGTGTTCAGAGCACCCCACCTGCCCCCGCCACCGCCCGCCCACGCGATGGGTAACCGCCAGTGACCTTGGGCTTCGCCGAAGCGAAGACACAGCTGGGAGCACAAAACAGGAATGAACAGTGCGAGGATTTCGTGAGGTCAGATTACCTGGCGCAGCAGCTGCCGTGGAATCTGTAGACATACAAGAAGGGGAAGTCCAGGGCGCGGAGGAGGTCACCTGCAGGCACAGCGAGGGTGAGACGGTGGCCCGCGCCCGCGCCCACGGTCCCAGCAATGTACGGCCAGGGCCTCCGCCCAGCCCCCGAGCGAGGAGCTGCCCCGCACTGAGTTCACACCAGCTTCCCTAGGGCTCCTGTTATGGCCCTTTCTTACAATAACAATAACAGTCTGTAGGGATCGCCCCTGGCAGGACCCCTGCTGGAGCTGTACACATCACCTTTCTCAGGGCCCTGACAATGTAACGTAACCCCCCTTTGCCTGGAGCTCAGAGAAGTTAAGAGATTTGCCCAAGATGGCACCACTAGAGCTGGGAGCCACAGCGGGAACCCCTCCCTGCAACCCTGGATCCTCCCCTTCCCCAGCAGCACCCTGCCCGCCCGCGGCAGAGGGGGCACAAAAATAATCCTCTTTTCAAAAGACTGTTCTGTTCTCTTCCGCCTCAGACCTAAGACCAGACTGAGAGCCACCTGACATCCTCTTCCCTTGTCGTGTTTAATGACGGCACCAGCGCAGGGCCAGGCCGGCCGTACGCACTCATTTTAGGTGCCGGTCCAAAGGGCACATGTATTTCGCGTGAAATCAGCTCATTCTTTTAGTCCCACTTGGTGCGAGAGGAAATAATCACACATACGGCTGCTTCCCTCTCTGGAATTTGAACTTGGTCACAAACAAGAAGTCAAGAGATTAAAAAAAAGCAGCAAGTTTTCCAAAAACGTCCCCAGGAAAGGAACTGAGCATTTCCACAGCCGACGCTCATCCTTCCAAGCTGGGAGTCTCGGAGCGCGGGAGGGGCCGGGCCTTCAAGCCCTGCTCTGCTGCCTCCTGGTTCTGAAGCCCTGGAGCTGGGGGTGTGGGAGGTTGGGGGGCTGGAGGGAGACT